TCTCTGCTGCATAACACATATAATAATTTTTATTGTTTGTGTCATCACCCATTAGACTGAAGGATTCATAGCAGATTTGTTTATTTGTTTGTTTGTTTTCTGATAAAGGTGTGTGATCAAGTTTGGAGCCCTCTGATCTAGCAGAGGGAAATGGAATAGAAAAGAGATAAGCTTTTTTGGAACAGAGAATATCTGTCAGAGAGTAGTGGGAAATAAAGCGGAATAAATGACAATAAGACATTTATACAGCTCATCAACAAATATGATCGCCATTGAACACAGCTGGGAATAGAGGGTCAGATCAGTAAAAAATGACTTGTGCAGTCACAGAGTTAGAAAGTATCAGAGCTGGTATGTAACTACTCTTCATATCTAGTGTTTCTTCTAAATAACACAGCATTGTATCTGGGAACTATAGATCTACATCATGGTGGATATTGAAAGTCAGACAGGAGTTTAGACTAATAATGAGAACTGTCATATCCTTAATGCTTTACATACATTATTGAATTTGAGTGAAATAAGAAATTTCACAGCAACCTTGTATTAGGTACTTTTGCTACTTTTACCCTCATTTGACATGGAGGAAACTGAGCCTTAGAGAGGTTAAATAGTCAAGACAACAGAGATGGAAGGAATCTTAGAGACCAACGAGAATCCAACCCTTCCATTTCCCAGGGGCAAAGGGAAGTGAAGCCACTTGCTCCAAGCCATATAGCTAGTTAGTAGAAGAACTTGATCTATAGCAACTATAAAAACACAATTACAAAACATTTTTCACACAGATAAAGACAGATCTAAACAACTAAAAAAAACAGCAGTTGCTCATAGGTAGGCCAAGCTACAATAAAAATGACAATTCTACCTAAATCAATTTACTTATTCAGTGCCATATCAAACTACCAAAAAATTATTTTATATAACTGGAAAAAATAATAAAATTGACCTGGAAGAACAAAAGGTCAAGAATATCAAGGGAAATAATAATAATAATGAAAAAAAAGCAAAAGAAAGTGGCCTCGCCAAACCAGATTTAAAACTATATTATAAAGCAGCAATCATCAAAACTATTTGGTACTGTGTAAGACATAGAGTGGTGGATTAATGGAATAGATGAAGTACACAAGACACAGTAGATGATCATAGTAATCTACTTGTTTGATAAACCCAAAGATTCCAGGTTCTAGAATAAGAATTCACTATTTGACAAAAATTGCTGGAAAAACTGAAATAATATGGCAGAAACTAGGTATAGACCAACATCTCACATTGTACACCAAGATAAAGTTAAAATGGGTACATGACTTAGACATAAAGGGTGATAATAAGCACAAAAGCAAATTAGGAAAGCAAGGAATGGTTTACCTGTCAGGTCTATGAAGAAGGGAAGAATTTATGACCAAGTAAGAGATAGGACATTAGGAAGTACAAAATGGGTAATTTTGATTACATTAAATTAAAATTAAAGTTTTTACACTCAAAAAAGTGAACACAACAAAGAACAGAAGGAAAAGAAAGTGGGAATTTTTTCAGCAAATGTTTCTGATAAAGGCCTCATTACTCAATATAAGACCATAAGTCATTCTCCAATTTATAAATGGTAAAAGGATATGAACAGGGAGTTTTCTGATGAAGAAATTAAACCTATCTATAGTCACATGGAAAAAAAACCTTCTAAATCACTATTAATTAGAGAAATGAAAATTAAAACAACTCTGAGGTACCACCTCACACCTATTAGATTAGTTAACATGACAGAAAATGAAAATGATATATGTTGGAGAAGATGTGGAAATATTGGACACAGTGCATTGTTAGTAGAATTGTGAACTGATCCAATCATTCTGGAGAGCAATTTGGAACTATGCCCAAAGGGCAGTCAAACTACCATTTTATCTAGCAGTACCACTATGAGGTCTGTACCAAAGAGATCATAAAAAAGGGAAAAGGATCTACATGCACAAAAATATTTATAGCAGCTCTTTTGTGGTGGCAAAGAACTGGAAATTGAGGGGATGTCTATTAACTGGGGAACGGCTGACCAAGTTGTGGTATATGAATGTAATAGAAGAAATGATGAGCAGGCAAATTTCAGAAAAACCTGGACTTACATGAACTGATGCTGAGTGAAATGAGCAGAACCAGAACAATGCATATAGCAACAGCAACACTGTGCAATGATCAACTATGATGGAAAATGCTATCCACATCCAGAGAAAGAACTAGAGTCTGAATGCAGATTTTCACCTTTTTTTTGTTTATTGTGGCCTTTTCCTTTTATTCTGGTTCAATTTTCACAACATGGCTAATGTGAAATATGTGGGATAGGAGGGACAGAGAAAAATTTGAAACTCAAAATCTTAAAAAAATGAATGTTGAAAACTATCTTTATATGTAATTGTAAACAATAAAACACTATTTAAAAGAAAAAAAAAGGATCCAGGTCTCCTAATTCTTAATGAGTTTGCACAGATATAAATGTGAAAAAAGCTAAACAAGCTAAAAATAGGTAAAAAAAGAAGCTCCACAAAGAACAAGCAGATTTGTGGACCAGGGCTGCTCTCAGCCAGAAAAAGTTGAAGGGCAAAGGGGTTTGGAATTATCAAGTTCTCACCTTGATGGGGCGGGCAATATTAGGTTGCTTCCAGCGCAGGACAATTTGCCCAGCAATTGTGACACCATAGAATAAGTAATTGATGAAGCCTACATAGTTGATGAGCGTATATATGTCACTGGTCACCAGCATCAGCAGGGTGGAGATGCACTGTGAGGATGAAGAGAAGTTGGTTGAATTAATAGTCTGAAAGATATTTAGAGTCATTCTCTTAGAAGGGACTTTGACAGGTCTGCTTGATTCTTGATAGCCTCAGAATCTAAATGATGCCATTTTATAGATGCCCAGAAGATTCCCTTACTTCTCCCCTGACCCTCTAGGTCAGGGATTTCTTCCTAATATCCTTCCTGTTATAACTGATGAAAATTTTCATTTTTTTTCTCTTGAGTGGAGATAGGGATCAAGTCATCAGCCTTTGAAAAATACATTTTCATAGTACAAAAAACAGAAACTAATCTCTTTCATCCCTGTTTTCTCTTGATTTAATCATTTTAGCTCTCATTACACCTTTCTCATTGGTTGAGTTTTCCAATCATCTTGGCTAACATGTTCTCTTTAACACTCTTGGATGGAAGAGTCCAGTCCAGTATTGAGTATAATTTTCTACAGGGAATCTGATCAATACTGAGGATAACAAGAGGGCATTCTCTTGATTCCAACAAGTGTAACCCCATATCTCAGTTCTGTTGTTTGTGACTGCACCTCATCATTGATTCAAGCACTGCTTGTGGTCCACCAACCCCCTGGCATCATCTCCAGCCTCATTTACATATGATTGATCATTCATATCTATACCCTGAACTATTTGGGACTTTTTTTTTCTATCAACGTAGAAACTACTTTGTCTACAGCTACATTGAGCTGTATTTCTGCTAATTTGTGAGCAAATTTCAAATAACCCAAACTAATTTTCCATTGTACATTTGGAACTGGAAGAAGGAAATAATTCAAAGAGGTTTTAACGGAGAGAGTTCTTTGTTTCTTCCATGGAATCCCTCTAAATTTCCCTTCTCTGGAAATGATGAGTAGGATGGTAGCAGAGAAACCTGGAAAGACTTATGAGTTGATACAAAGTGACATGTACCGTGTACAAAGTAACAGTAATATTGTAGGATTATTTGCTCTGAAATGACTTAGCTATTCTCAGCAATACAACGATGCTAGACAGTTCTGAAGGACTTATGATGAAAAATGCTAGCCATCGCCAAAGAACTGATGGTGTCTGAATGCAGAGTGAAACATAGTTTTCTTTGACTACATGACTATTGTGGAAGTGTTTTATATAACTGCACATGTATAACCTATTTCAAATTGCTTGCCTTCTCAATGTGGGGGATGAAGAGGGAGGATGGGATAGAGTTTAGAAATTTTTTTAAAGTTTTAAAGTTTAAACAAGTTTAAAGTTTAAAAACAAACGTTAAAAATTGTTATTACATGTAACTGGGGAAAAATAAAATACTAAATAAATTTAAAAAATAAAATAAAATATATTTCCCTTCTCTTTTCTCCTCTGCCAGATATTTTAGGTTTATCAGCTTCCCTGCCTCCCCCTATCACCTAACCCTAGTTTGGCAGACTCTTTTTAAAATCTGCTAAAATATAGCTAAAGTTTATATAGAAATTTAAGGTCTGCAAAGCACTTTTACAAATATGATGTCATTTGGTCCTCACAACCATCCTGGGAGATGGGTGTTATTATTATCCCCATTTTAGAGATGAAGAAATTCAGGCAGGCAGTGGTTAACTGGTTTGTTCAAGATTACACAGCTGGGATTTGAGGTCAAATCTGAACTCAGATCTTCCTGATTCCAGGTCCACCTAGCTGCCTCTAGATGTCAGATCTTTTCATAATTGAGGATATTTCTGTTCCACTTGATATCAATAAGAGGCAGTGTAGGGTAGTAGAGGGATGCTCCTTGAAGCCAGGAAGATTTGAGTTCAGGTACTGCCCCTGACTGTCACTCAGAGTCAGCTCTTTAAGACAATAATTGGCACAAAAGGAGGTGCTGACCTACATTGGTGGAGGGAATTTCTTCATCTTGGAGTTCCCTATACCAATGAACTCACAAGGTTCAGAGTATATATCAAATCAGTTACAACTCAATACAATTCAACTGAAAGCTAGAGGAGGGTGATGGAATGGTATATGTGAAAGATTGAAACTGACAGCTCAGATGCTGATTAGAACAGGATGGAGTAGGCCCAGAGTAGGCCCAAACAGAACAGAAATAGAAACAGGGAGGGGAGAGCTAGCTGAGGGACTGACTGATCCTTACCGTGAAGAGGAGAGCAGGGATAGGAGTACAACGTTTTATGTGGATCATAGCCAGCACACTGGGCAGGTGGCCCTCCCGGGCTCCAGCAAAGAATAGTCTAGTAAAGGAAGAAAAGAAGGAGTAGGGGTCTGGCATGAGGCCTCTGTTTCCTCTGGATCGAGTAAAAGAAGTCTAAGACTCATGGCACGCTCTACCCCCTCCCCTTGTGTCTTGCCTTATCCTCAACCTCCCCCAGGAACTGGTCCCAGTATACAGGCTCCCCCCATTCATGCACACACACAACACACAAGACATATACACATACTGTCTCATTTATCTTTCCATGCTATCACAGAGGCAGCTGATAGATAGGCCCTGAGTGGCCTGGGAAGACCTGGTGTCTGAGGTCTAGGTTATTAATGGCCACACCCTCTTCAAGTTCAAAATCTATGTTGGGTTGGGCTGTAGTAAGAGGAGATGGAGGAAGTGAGAAGGCCAGCTTTACAGGCAGAGAAGGCAGCTACCTGCCTGAAATAATTTCAGGAGCTGCTGGGAAGGTCACCTCCCTAAAATACCTTTCTCCACTTTGTCATATCTGTAACTATACTGTATGTTTTCTCCCTTTTTATTGAAAAGACAAATGTCTTTGGGATAGAAGAGCTCCAAGTTCTCATTAGTCATTTATATCTTGGTACAAATATTGGCCAAAGTGTAACGGAGGAGATATAGGCAGAAGACCCAGATCTAGGAGGCTAGGACTCCAAAGATGGAACCACTAATTTCAGTTCTGTCCAGGGTCACCACTGGGGTATGGGGGTGGGTGGGTGAAGGGAGGTGTTGACCAGGGATGGCTGTCCATGAGTCAGTCAGTCAGTCAGCCAACAAGCATTTATTGAGCCCTTATTATATGCCAGGCATTACATTAAGGCACAAAAGACACAAAGAACGCAAAAACATGGTCCGAGCTAGAACAGGGTCAGACTGACACACATGAACATGTTTGCCAGACTTGTACAGACCAGAAGCATAGGAATTGGAGATATGGCACCAGGTAACCTGCCATCAACTGCCTTGACCATCCTGCCCCACCTCCCACATGCAGCCATACACATGCCTGGATGCTCTAGCCCACCTGTGGGCACCCCCTGGCAGGGTGATGTCATGCACCAAGAATAGCTACAAATACAGCTGAGTCTTTACATGCAGCTTTATGTTTGCCTCTCCTATTGGTGCAGTCAACATCTCCCTTGCCTCCATCTATTATCCCAGGATCCAAACATAAGGCTGCCTAAAGACAATCCCTGCTCTATTGCTGATGACTGATGAAATTAGAGAGGGTGTCACACCCACACACACTTCCACACCTTGGCAAAAAGCCATCCATTCCATACCTGAAATGAAACCTTTTTAAGGGAAAAGTGAATAAATGAACAGAGAAGGCCTTTCCTCCAAGAAGGGTGTTAGGGGTGGGTGGATGATGTGTGCAGATGACTAGCATATACATACATTCCCTGTCGCATGCACACACACACAACTACATCCACCCACGTGCAGCCAGACCTGCCTGTGTGACCTCCCTGCAGGGACAAACCCAGCTCTAACTTGCTTTAGTCACTTTCTCTTCCAAAAGATCCCAGAAAGCCACGATGGACAGGCTCTCTTCCAGGGCCCTCCAGTGGGACTTCCGAGGCTGCGGCAGCTCCTGTTTAACAGGCACATGAGGTTGCCATGGGTGAGTGTGTGATGCCCCAGTTACAGGAATGGTACCAGAACTGTGCACCTTCTCTGTACAATGCCCCCCAAACATGGCACCTTGGTCCCCTCAAGGGAATTCCTGTTGCTGCTGGGGTAGTGCTGTGTTGGCTGTAAGCCAGGGTGAGTTAAGCTCAAAGGCAGCCCAGTCAGTGAGCTGAATACAGTGGATGAGACAGCATGTGGCCTCCCTGACTGCATGACTGACTCTGATTTGGGTATGAATGCTCCCCTGAGGCTTTGGCCTTCGCAGGAACACTGGGTGGCTCAGTTCCAACCCAAACCTACAGAGTTTTGCTGGAACCCTTCCTGGCCTCCCCGTAGCATTCAGTTCAAGGTAAAGAAGATGAATCCTCTTTCTTTCTCCTGCTCCTCTCCTCACTCAACACCAAGTTGCTTGAATGTATACTACAACATGGGATTGCAAAGGTCACACAGCACAGACCACTTGGGAAGCCAGGCTAGGTGCCTGCATGGCCTCTTGCCAAGACAGTCATATCCAAGTCAAAGTTTGGCCTGATGGGTCCGAACGAGGGAGGGCTTAGACGTTGACCCTTTCCCTAGGTTCACAGACACCATCTAATCTAAACTCCTCAATTTACAGATGAGGAAACTGAGGCCCAGAGAGGTTTAGTGCCTTATTCAATATCACACAAAGCAGTAAGGAGAAGAGCTGTGATGTGAACCCAGATGTCTGTCTCTAAGTCCAGTGGTTTTTTTCAGTGCCACACTCAAGAATCATATGTTCCTCTCTCCTTGTCCCCTCATGCAATGGTTGCTTTTCACTCTATTCTCATTAGCAGCTAGAACCCCAGATAAATGGACCAAGGAGGCCCCAAGACTTTTCTATCCCCTAACAGGTCATCAAAGCTGAGAATGAAATGGACTGGGGGCTAACCCCACTCCCCACCTACACCTTATCCACCCAAATGAAGTGGGCCCAAAATGGTAAAAGGTGCTGCCTTTTCTTTTTCTCCATCCAATGTTAGGAGCCTTAGAAATTGCTGTCTCATGTACATGCATGTATGAGTACACACACACACACACACACACACACACACACACACACACACACACACAAGCAATGCCTCTCTGTAAACCCATAGAGATATACACAGAGATAAAGAATTCACATAGAATCACTTTCACATGTCTTATGTGTACTTATCTACCTGGGTATAAAAAAACCGTGGGTATATATGCACATGCACGCGCACACAAACACACATTATTGCACACAAGGCCATTTACACAGCCAAGCTCCCCACTCCACTCACAGACAGTGTAGAGGCTGAACTCACCTGGAGGATGTAAAGAGAGATCCATTAACTCCACCGAATGTGGACAGCGCAACTGAAATGGGCATGATCCAGGCCATGACACCAAGAAGCTTCTCTCCAAAGGTCTGGAAGAGGAGACAAAGGACAGGTGAAAACTCTGTGCTGAGCTCCCTTACAGAAGGGGCCCTGCCTTGCTTTTTTTTCTCCCATCACTGCTCCTGTTCTCCACATAGCCCTATCCATAGGATACTGCCTGGGCCACCAAAGAGGCCTTAGTGCTCTCTTTCTAGGTCCAAAGTTGCTCACATCCATCAGTTGCCAAGAACAAGCTGTTTTAATGCCACATCTCTTGACAGGCATCCCTTTCTCTTCAACTCACATGGCTGCACCTTAATTCAAACAATTATCATCTCGCACCTAGACTATTATTATTAATAAGAACTAGCATTATATTTATGAATTATTTTATAATTCTGTGTAATTATTACTTAAGAAAAATAGCTAGCATTTATATGAGGCAGCTAAGTGGTACAGTGGATAGAGCAGCAGGCCTGGAGTCACGAGGACCTGAGTTCAAATGTGACCGCAGACATGTATTAGCTGTGTGTTCCTGGGTAAGTCAGTTAACCCTGTTTGCCTCAGTTTCCTCATCTGTAAAATGAGCTGGAGAAGGAAATGACAAATCACTATAGCGTCTTTGCCAAAAAAACCCTAAACTGAAGTCACAGAGAGTACAGCAGAATTGAAACAACTGAAAAGTACAAAAGCATAGTGCTTTACAATACCTCATTTTATCCTCAAAACAACAAAGGCCCTAGGGGACCCATGAGAGAAATTCAAGGAATCTGATATGCTACTATTTTGAACTCAAATTCTTGGCTAAAATCAGGTATGTATGAGGGAGGGAGGTATGATATTACTATCCCCATTTTGCAGAAGAGGAAACTGATGCACAGAAAGGTTCAGTGCCTTGCCCACAATCACAAAGCTAAAATATATATGAGGCTAGATTTGAACTCCTATTCTCAACTGTGCCAACTATCTCTTCAGTCATTTCTCTCTCCTCTAGTCTTTCCTCTCTCCAATCTACCTTCCCTATAATTGCCAAAATAATCTTCTTATAAAGTCCAAGTGTGACCATGCTACTTGCCCTGCTCAAGATAAATGGTAGGCAGTTAAATCTTTTCACAATCTGCCTCAGTCTACCTTTCTAGGCTTAGAGAATATTCCTTCCTCCCCATCCACCCCTGCTGCCTCTCTAATGTACATACCCTTTTCACCTCTGCCTCACAGAAACCTTTGAGTTTCTTTCAAGGCTCAGTGCTCTTATTATCTGCTAAGTGATTCCCAATGGTCTCTTCCACATATTATCTCATCTCCCCCTCCCAGGAGAATGTAAGCTACCTGAGGGTATGGACTTTTTTTTTTCATTTTGTCTCTATCTTCAGTCTCCCATACTATCTTGCAGCAGAGAATACACACTTAATAAATGCTTGTTTGATTGGACTAGAGAAAATAGGTTGAGCCCAGACTTCATTCCTACTGGGGAAGGAGATACATCTTCCATAAAAACTCATTCAAGGAACCTGATCTCCCACTATTTTGAGCATGCATACTTGGCTAGAGTTAGGTACGTGGAAGTCTTTTCACTGTTCAATGAACAAGCCATGCACATTTCTGTCTCCCAGTGTTCACTCATATGAGAGGCAGCATAGTGGAGGGAGTAGAGGTCTGATCTGGGAGTCAGAAAGGTCTGGATTTAAGTTCTACTTCCGACATGAGCTGATTATAACCTTTGGGCAACTAAGAGCAACAGCTGCTGATCTGCTTTGGTAGATCTCACCAGGAATTGCTTGAAACCAGTGACAACATAGATCCAGACCAAAAGTTGATTCAAGTCCTAGGAATGAACAGCTTCCCCTTTTCTCTCAAACCCTGGTTGCCTTGAAGAACCAGCTCAGGTCGTACTTCTACCATGATTCCTTTCCTAACTACTATGAGTTATAACTAACCACTGCATTTCAACAAATGTTTACCGAACACCTACTAGGTTCTAGGCCTTGCTTGGGCCAGGCACTCAAAGGTGAGTGCTACAAAGATGAAAAAGTGATATTAACCCTGACCTCAAGGAACTTACAATCTAATGTAAAAATTACAATACAGCTTCTACTTTCCTACAATGAGTCCCTCAAGAGCTATGTCTTACCCCTCTTCCTTATCTCCTCATACTCTCTTCTCACTCTTTTTTCAGCAACAGACTGGCCCCCAGAAAAATGGTCTGGCAAGGCCCAGTGATAAGATACATTGAGGAAAAAAAAAAATCTTCCTCCTCTGAATTCTTGCAGCACTTAAGAGTTGGTATGGCACAATTTGGCACTATATACGTTCTTACATAATGCCCACATTTTTGTTTCAGCTGCCATCATTTTTCTCTCCTCAGTAGATATGAAGCAACTCTGATCTGGCCAGACTGGCTTCCTCTCGGTCCCTCACACACAATACCCCATGGCATTTCTATGCTTTTCCACGGCTGTCCTCCCATGCTTGGAATGCATATCCTCCTCACCTCTGACTCAAAGGACCTCTCTACTCCTTTAGGACTCAGCTTTACAAATGCTAGGGAGCATCCTGTCCTTTCTCCCTCCCTAACTGTTTAACAACTCCATGTTTAACCTGAATATACCTATGTACTTGTTTTTTTCTCTTGTTAGAAAGTAAGCTCATTGAAGACAGTCTTTTTGTCAGTTTTTCTATCTGTACTGTAAACTCCTAGCACAGTATCTGGTACATAGATGTTTCTTTAATAGCCGCCATAGCCCTTATCCTAGTGTGGCTCACCAAATAGGCACTCAGTTAATATTTGTCAGCTAATTCAGTGGTCAGAAAATTATAGCCTGGGCCAAGGTATTTTAAGATGTAAAGACCATCCTCAGGCAATAGCTGGACAGATTTGGTTGTAGTTTGCTTACCCCTTGCTATAAAAGCAAATGAACATTTGAGGAAGGGAAGAAAATCCATGAAAGTTAGATGACTGGCTGGTGAATACTTGTTAAGTGAGGGCTTACAACGGAGCTGAGATTAGATAGAGCACATTCATGAGACAATTCTTCTTCGCTGGGGATTCAAGAAATTGTTGCTGCCAGTCCTGATGCAATCTCATGAGCAGCAAATCATAAAGGAGGAAACGATGGGTTTGAAGGCTCCAGATATCACAGGCTCTGTCTGTCCCCTCTGGAGATAAACAGTCAGGCCTGTGTTTCAAGATAACACAGATGATGATTTGCAAGAGTTTGCTACTTTGGACTGGGTTCAAATCTGATCTACCACTGATTTACTAGGTGACCTATAGGCGATCAATAATTCAATTCTGTTCAATTTAGTCCAATTCAATGAGTATGTATTAAGTGCCTATTATAGGAAAGGAATGACTGTGTAAAACTGAGGATTACAAAGACAGAAAGAAAATGAAACAGTCTGATATGGGTAGTGCTGCCATGATCCAGGTTTTTCATTTCTTTTTTTGCTTTCTGGTGAGGCAATCAGGGTTAAGTTTCTAGCCCAGGGTCACACAGCTAGTAAGTATCAAGTGTCTGAGGCCAGATTTGAACTCAGGTCCTCTTGACTCCAGGGCCGTGCTCTATCCATTGGGCCACCTACCCACCCCCGCCTTTTTCATTTTTATGCTTCAGTTTTCCCCTCTATAAAATGGAGAGAATCATCTATGAGCCCCCTACTACCTGAGGATTTACGTGGTGCAGTGTATTGAGTGCTGGGCCTAGAATCAGGATGACCGGATTTCAAATTCAGCCTCAAGACACTCACTAGCTGTAAGTCACTTGTTAAACCCAGTTACTTCAACTATAAAATGGGGATTATAAGAACACCTACCTTCCAGGTTATGAGGATCAAAGGAGATCATAATTGCAAAGCTCTTAGGACAGTGCCTGACACATAATAGGCAGCATATAAATACTAGCTATTGTTATTATGACTGTTGTCAGCTGAATCATGTTTACAAAGTGACTTCATTTAAAAAAGTAAATTCCTCTCCACCCTCTGAGAAAAGAACTAGGCAATGTCACTGGGACAATGGACTGCTCCTGTCACAGTATAGTACTAGCCAACTACTGTATTATCTCAGTAATGAGTTCATCCTTAACAGAACTATGCTATCTGACAAGGCAGGGCCTAGAGAAACCCAGAGAGGGTTCAATAGACACAGCCAATAAGTTGGAAAACATTACTAGGAGGAAAGACTGTGAGAACCAGCTAGTTGTTATTTAGCTTGGGGAAAAAGGCATTGTGGGGTTGGATAATAACAGTCTTGAATTGAAAGGTGATTGTTTATTCTTCAGTCTCTGGGACAAGCCTGCAGATGGGGCACTTTGATTAGGCAAGAGGAAGAATTTCTAAAGAATAAGGGCTACTAAAGATTAGAATGGAATATAGGAGATGTGGCCCTCCCTTCTCTAAAGGCCTTTAAAGATAAAGACAGATTCCATCTAACACACAGTGGGTTTGAGAAGAATGGGATGAACCATCTAACCTCTAGCCCTGAGGGATTAAATCATATGATCTCTTCCATCCAAAGAGCCAAGAGAACTTTCTCCTCCATATTGGTTACTCTCACATACTTTTCCATGAAGTAGGAGAGTGGTTAAGATTGATCTTTCTAGAAGAAATAATGACTTGCTTAGGATAACAGTAAGTGTCTAAAGCAAGATTTGAACTCAGGTCTTCCTGCTCCAGGCCCAATGAGCTACCCAGTGCACCACCTAGCTGCTTACTAGCAAAGCTGGGGTTTGAACCAAGGCGCCTCTGACCTTGAATCCTGAACACTTTCTGTTATGTCCTCAATCATATAATCATAGAGGTTAGGTGTAAAGGGAGTTTGGTGGTCATCTGCTCCAATCTCCACATTCACAGGCAAGGACACTGATGCTCAATGAGGGTAAGGAATTTGTCCAAAGTCACACAGCCAGTGGCAGGGGCAGGACCTGAACCCAGGAGTGCTGATCCCTGGAGCTCTGTCCACTAGATGGCAGATGTCCCACCTTATATACAGCTCTACTTGGCAGGATGTTTTTTTGTTTTTCCTAAGGCTGGGCCTAGGATGATGCTCAGGCTTTGTGCTCCGTGTGATATTTAGTCACTCTGCTGATGCTGGCAGAAGAGCAGAAGAGAATTGAGGGGAAGTGGGAAAGAAAGTTACGAGGTGGACTGGAATTCCCATTTATTCCAGCTTCTGTGTACTCTGACTTTTAAGAATGAGCAGCAGCAATTCCCAACTGGGGACTAAACAGAATAATCCCCTTACTGAGGTTCCTGCCCATATGACTCAGATCACCGGGAAAAAGTGCTCTGAGATTAATTACTCAGCCAAACTTCCTTCCAACTTCCTGGTTCAAGGGTCCTTGGCCCCAGAGGGAGCTTCAGAAATATGGGAATCCTTACCACAGCGACAGCATTGGAGGCCAGCAGCTCCTGGGGTGACATCGCAGTGACATAAGCAATGTTGGCAAAGACATACACAAACGTGACCAGAGGGATGGAGATGAAAATAGCTCGAGGAAGGTTCCTGCAGAGTGACATAAGATGAAAAAGGGAGGATCACTAGGTATAGGAACTCACTCCCCACAATGCCACCCACTCCAGCCCCCTAGGTTCCCTAAGATGGAATAAAGGTGTTCTGTCTGGGTTTCTGTTCCTCTTTTGAGGCTTCACGTTCACAGCTTGTCCTTGGGGAAAATATTCAAAGTTAATCAAGTCATTTGGAAATGAATTCTGCCTCAGTCTGGGCAGACTGCCTAGACAGAAATGAAACAGCTTGGAGAGATGTATTCCAAACCTACTATTGATACAAAGAGGTTTATACCTTTGCACCCTTTCTCCAGGATGCTCCACACCCCCACACCTCCTAGGCAGGAAGGTAGATGAATCATAAACTGTTCAGGGCTCAATCTTTTTTTTTTTTCCCTTCAGTTAATTGCTTTATTTTTCTTTTTTTAAATAAAATTTTCTATCACCTGCATTTCAAGATACGTCCTTACCCCCTCCTCCCCAGAGAGCTATCCCTTGTAACTACGAATAGGAAAGAGAAAAGGAAAACTGTTTAGCAAAACTAACCAAATTTGATACTATATGCTGGGTTTGGTAATGACTAGTTAGTTCCACAATGTTCTCCACTTTCTTCCTGGTCTACATTACTGACACTTTAGGCAATTTTTAACATGACTCTGATGGAGACATATGATCATTTTTTCCTACACTGCCAGGAAAGGACCCCAGATTATGAGATATAGAGTCGGAAGGGAACCTAAAGGTCATCTGGTCCAACACCCTCATTTTATAGATGAGGGAACTTCGGCTCAGAGAGGTTAAATGATTTGCTCAAGGTCACACAGGTAGTGTGTGTGTACATACACACACAGAGTAGTTTAAGGTGTACAAAGCGCTTTGCTATAAACAGCCCTGTGAGATAGGTAGCATACATATTGTTAACCCCATCTGACTCACAAGAAAACTGAGGCTCAAAGAGGCTAAGTGCTTAGCCCATACTATCAGGGCTGGTGTGTGTTGGAACCAGGACTCAAAGCCCAGCCCTCCTGACTATAGGTCGAGTACACTTTCTACCCCAGAACAGGTAGAAGGAAAATACTCCAAACTCCTTTTAAAAGAAAAGAAATGCAGGCTCCAGTCTCTCTGGCAGAAGGTACTGTGCCATTCAAAGATATGATAGACAAGGTGGGCTTTATCCTTACTCACTTGTAGGGATCAACCAGTTCCTCTGTCACATAATTAAGGAAGTTCCAGCCTCCATAGGCAAAGGAGCCCTGAAGGAAAGCCAATGCGATGAGGCCGATGTCAGGCTTTTGGAAATTCTCAAATGCGTTTTTGGGCTCTAGCCAGAAGTACTGTCCTGTGAACACAAGGGACAGAGAAGTTGTTGATAACAGTGCCCCACCCCCACCCCAAATCTGTGAGGTCTGAGGCTGGCCTGCCTGGCCCCACCGACTGAAACAAAGCTGTCTCTTGACATATGAAGCCTTAGACTCACAGGTGAGTCAGCAAAAAAATGTTCCAAAGGTATTGTTTTAAAATCTTGAACCCTGATCCTGCTTTCAAGTTAGAAACACCTTTCCAAAAAAAAATTTTTAAGCACGTTGAGATACCTGGAAGGGACAAAGGCCAGAGAGGGCAGGGAAATTAAGGGGATATTGGACAGGATAAGAATGGCATTAGGATTCTCCATTTTGCCCCTTTTCACCTTTGCTGATTCTCTTGTTTGGTCTCTATGCAAGTTATGTGTATTTTCATCATGAAAAACGTGGAGAAATCATTTCATTCCAGAATTCTCAACGCACCTTGTACTGTTCCACATGGTTATATCATTTTGCCTTTTCTTGTTATTTTTTGGGAAAGGGGGTTAAATTTTTAAAATGTCTCTTTCTTATCTTTTTTTTTGGCCCTGTCTCAGTCAATCAATAAACATTTATTAAGCGCCTACTATGAGCACCATAGTGTTCTAGGATACACTCTATACTCTCCTCTCCTCTGTAAAGTGGGCTTTGTCCATTATCTTATATCTCAGTTTATGTTCTGACCCTAGCTGGTGACTCAGGTTACTGACAGACTGCAGTGGGAAGGAGCGGCTCATAGTTTTTGGAATGCACTGAGCCTATACCTAGAGACATAGGATCATAGATCAGAACTAGAAGGTCAGAACTAGAAGAAGCCTTTATTAAAATACTTCCATTTTATAGTTGAGGAACTAAGGCTCTGAAAGCAGGTGACTTGCCCATTGTTACTCTGGTAATAAGTGACACAGCTTTGTCTGAAACCCAGGTCCTGACTCCAAATCCAGGGTCCTTTTCCACGATACCCTGATTTGCATAAAATGATATATACACCAATCTTTTCTAGCATTTAGAAAATGCAATAATGAATTAAGAGTGGGAAGGAGAAATAAAGGACTCTATTTTACAAAAATATCATGCAAAGAACTTAGTTGGGATTTCCAGGGTAAAAGATTAAGCCCTACACCTGGGGTTTGGGCCAATGCATGAAACCTCCCTATATGTCATCTGACTTTGACTGTGAAACAGTGATATTATGCAGAGCCTGGTGGTGCCCTAAGTCCCATGGAAACCAAACAGAATCCAGGCAGGGAAAGGAATAAATCTAGTGGAGAATGTTGGCACAATACCCAAGAATGTACCTCTCAGCATTGTAAAGGTTATGAACAAATTGAAAACCTAAAAAACAAAATAAGCAGAAGATGTATCATTTCCCTCAGATATATATAATATGAAGGGTAAGGCGCTCACCTTGGGTCAAGGCAAGGGAATCAATTCAATTATACAAAATTGACCAAGTGCCTATTAAGTACAAAGCACCATGCTAGGGAGTCTCACTGAAACTAACACTGTGGGTTATGATATAGTCCAACATGTGTACAAAATGAATGCGGATGCCTCTAACCCTTGCATTAAAGCAAGGGAAGGAATCATGCCAGTAGAGAAACTGGGAAATCTTATAGTGCACATATACAGGCATGTGTGTATATATGTTATATACGTGTACCTGCATATATGTAGGAAGTATATGAAACCTAGATGTTCGCTCTGCCTCACCTTTGCAGATCTGCACAATCCCCATGACAATAATCAGGCCCAGGGCCAAGAGCTTCCCAGCTGTGAAGACATCCTGCACTCGGGTGGCCCATCGCACACTTGCGCAGTTGACCCATGTTAGAAGCACTGAAATGACATCCCATACATATGCACACTTAGAGATAATGATTTCAGGCATTACAACAGAGATCTGTATTCCCAGTACAAAGAGACAAATATACAGTAAGCCTTAGAAAGGATGGGATGATTTCAATGATGGCTCAAAAAAATCCAGTTTGAATCTAGTAATCAGAAATTATGGCCTCGCAAAAAAGAGTTATGAATTTGAACTAGGTACTTTCTTTCCTGGATGCAGGCAAGGATCCAAAGGTGGGCAAACACGGGTGATGACTTTGGAGAATTCACAATTTGATACATTATACATGAGTACTTTGTCTCCAAGTTATTGTGTGTCCAAGGGTGTCTAACTTCTAGATGTATCCTAGATATGCTCTCTCAGGATCCCATTTGCTAAGGTAGGGACTTAGAGGAAATCTTGACTGCTCTATCACACAGGAATGGTTAGGAAACTTATTTCCCACCTGAACTGGGCAGTACAGTGGAAAGAAGATGTAATTTGGAGTCAGAAGACCTGGCTTCAAATATATACCCTACAATTTACTATCTGTGTAATCCTGAGTAAGTCACTTGACTTCACCAGGCCTCAGTTTCCATATCTGAAAAATGAACAGAATGGTCTAGATTGCCTTTAAAGTATCTTCCAGTTCTGACATTCTACAACTATAGGATTTGGTCAGACACTGAGGAAAGACTCACTTGGAGGGAAAGGCATCTCCAGTTCCATTCACATGCAGAGATCATTGGATTTAGAACTGGAACGGACCTTAAGATAGCATCTAGTCTAACCCCCTTGTTTTAAAAATGAAGAAACTAATGGGGCAGCTAGGTGGCACAGAGGATAAAGCACTGGCCCTGAAGTCAGGAGGACCTGAGTTCAAATTCGGCCTCAGACCAAACTCTTGACACTTTCTAGCTGTGTGGCCCTGGGCAAGTCACTTAACCCCAATTGCCTAAAAAAATGAACAAACTAAACACTTAGGAAGTTAAGTGACTGGTCCATAGTCACATAAGTAGTAAATAGCAGAACTGGAATTTGTACCAGAGTCCTCTAATTCCAAATTAGTGCTCTTTCCACCATACTCTGCTTCATTTTTTCCTGAAAGCCCAGTGGACCAGTCTTCTTGTAGAGAAGTCAACTGACTTTTTTAGCCCTAGGGACTCTTTGAATAGGTGCTAGGATATACTTGAGTAAGGGCCCAGCTATAACCCTGAAGACTTTTCCCCTAAAAAGAGATCAGAAATTTATGATGTTGTGGGACTAGGAGAGGACTCCAGGCACATTGACCTACTGTTGGTTGAAGATACTGTTTCTTGCTCTACTTTGGGAATAGCAATAATTTTCAGCCCAGTACCCTCAGACATCAATTATTCTAGAAACAACCCCTGTGGAGATGCAGCCTGGTAGTTACTTTTGTACATTCTACACTCATAGCTACCAAAGATCCAGATAAGAGAGTACTTGCCGTCAAAGTCCTTGGCACTGTTGAACAGTTCAACATAAGAAACTGATAGCATTTTTTATTTTCAAATGATTTCTCATCTTATTTTTACATTATCCCACCAGCAAGGGTGGGCATTGTAAGTATTACTATATCCACTTTATAGCTGAGGAAACTGAGGAATAGAGTAGTTCTGCTGATTGGCCCAACATCATAAAGATGGGGATGACTATGTCAAAAATAGACCGTGCATCTCGAGATTCTCAACTTGGTGTTTCCATCCTGGACTTGTCATGCCCTTGTATCCTGGTGATGGACATGAAAGCAACAGTATGCGAAGGTGCAGTAGCAGCATAAAGCCCAAGAAAGCTAGTTGCTGGCAACACTTATCTGGCACTGACTGCTTCATTTTTTATCGGCAGACTTAATCCTTAACCTCCCATAGTCCCAACATCAGGCTTGATGATGTACCACATACCAGATGCCCTCCCTTCTCAGCAGCTCCCACTAGTTCAGCAGCTCCCACTAGTTCACCAGCTTCCCTCCCTCCACTCAAGCCCTGCCTACTCTATCCATCATCACCAAACTACTGGAGTAGACACATTAACGCTAGGTATGCATTTGTTGACTGTTTTGAACCTGGCAAAATGATTTCGTATGTTGTCTTTGACACCCTGGTCTCACCTCTCTGATCCTTCTCTGGACCTACCTCTACCAAATGATAAGCAAACTCTGATTAGTTTTTATGGAACAAACTGAACTAGGGCAAATTGGGTCTTCAAAAGCAGAAATCCTTGACACCCTGTGGATAAGCTGTTCCACAAGACAGTGTCTGTGTGAGCAGAATGAAAACATGTTGTCAGAAGGGCTATTCTGAGTGACTGAACAGAGAACATTTCCTAAAGACTTGAGCATTCCACAGGAATGAGACAGATGGGAGATAAGCACACATTTACTTTAATCTTATATAATACAATAAGGATTTCAACAAGTGAGTGAGGGTACAACCAAAAATCACCTCGGCTTATGATCTCAACTTTTCCACTGGACCTCAATGGTTAAGTCAGTAGAAGGTCGAATGCTGTATGATGACAATATGAGGAATTCAGAACAGACAGCTATGCTATTGATGGAAAGATCAAGGGAAATGTTTTATGAGAGAAGATTAAAGGACAAAACTGGGTTGCTGAGGAACAAGTGAGGATTATCAACTAGGGGGATATCTGTTTCTGAGACCCATAGAAAAGAGACACAAAGTAGGGTGGAGAGGGAAGAAGAGAGAGGACATAGGTGGGGAGGAAAAAGAGGAGAGCAGAGATGGAGAAAGGAGGACACAAGAGCGATGGGTAGGAATTACCACAGAATCATTGATTTAGTGATGAAAGGGACCTTAGGGATCATGGAGTTCAACTCCCTTATTTTTAGAGGGTAAAAATGAAGAGGAAAGTGAGATAGAGAGAGGTCAGATGTTGCACAGATTTGGTAAATTTCTGACTAAGTCCTGTAGCTCCATGAGTTGCCTCCAGGTGAGAGAAAGGGAAGGGAAAAAAATTAAAAAGAATCAGATAGAGAGCAAAGTACATTAGAAGAGAGAGGGAGGTCAGAGAGGAAGCAGAGGAGGAGAAAAAAGATGAGGGACAGAAGGGAGAAAGCAGACAGAGGGAAAGTGGAAGAGAAAGGAAGAGAGGCAAGGAGAGCCCAAAGGTGGGGAGAGGAAAGCATTGGGCAGAAAAGAGAAAGCTAGGAAGCACAGGATGGAAGATGAGGCCCTAAAGGAGGATAGGGAGGAAGGAGAAGAGGAGCAGTGGCTCTCAGAGGGAAGGAAAGAGGGATAGAAGGAAAGAGGGAGAAGAATGGAGATGAAATGGGGAAAGAGAATGGAAATGGTTGGGCGCAAAATAAGGGCTGTTTGGAATGGGAAAATGTGCCTGGGAGAAGTGCTTGTATGAAGTCCTGCCACCATTCATTCCATAGGGAAGGGTTGAAGGGAACAAACATTTATAAAGCACCTACTATGTAGCAGGTATTGTGTTACACGTTTTATAATGATTATCTCATTTAATATTCACAACAGTCCTGGGAACTAAGTGCTGTCATTATCCCCAACTACCTTAAAAATGGGAAAATGACAGCTGGAGAGGCTGAGGGAAAACAGGTATTCTAATGTACTGTTGGTGCAGCTGTGAATTGGTCCAACCATTCTGGAGAACAACTTGAAATTATACCCAAAGGACTATAAAACTGTGCATACTCTTTGACCTAGCAATATTGCTACTATATCTATAACTCAAAGACATCAAAAATTTACAGGAGCTCTTTTTGTGGTGGCAAAGAATTGGAAACTGAGGGGATGCCCATAAATTGGGATACCAAGTTATTTATGGCTTATGAATATAATAGAATACTATTACACTGTAAGAAGGGATGAAGGGAATGGTTTCAAAGAAAATTGGGAAGACTTGTATTAATTGATGCAAAGTGAAGTGAAAAGAAGTAGGAGAACAATTTATACAAATAACAGCAATGTGGTGGAAAACTTTGAAAGTCTTAGTTACTCTGGATGAACACAACAACCCAACACAATTCCAAAGGACTCATGTTGAAACATATTATTCACCTCCAGAGAGAGCTGATGACTCAAGAGTGAAGATTAAAGCATATTTTTTTTGGACGTGGTTAATGTCTGAATTTGTTTTATATGACTATACATATTTGCAGTGGATTTTGTTTTCTTAGTTTCTCAATGAGGGGGAGGAAGAGAATTCAGAACTGAAAATGGAATAAGAATTTTTTTAAATGTAAATACTATGATGGCTAATAAAAAGATCCACCAGGAGTTCATAACCTTGGGTTATAAACTTTTTAAAAAATATTTTGATAACTATATTTCACAATATAACGTTTCCTTTGTATTTATATGTATTTCATTTTGTGCATCTAAGAACATTATTCTGTAAAGGGGTTCTCAGGTCTTACCAGACCGCCAAATGCATCCATGACACCAAAAAATTTATGTCTTAGGGATAACAAAAGACCTGAAGGATAAACTGACTCATCAAAATAGCTTATGGTAAGCCCAAAAGTGACCTCTAGTTCCTTATTCCTAGGGATCGCTTCATTCCCAGAGACTTGTTAGGATAGCAACCTTTCCCTCCCAACTATGATTAACCTTTCACCTTAAGTGGGCTAGTTTAAAAGCAAAAAGAAATAAGGAGATTGGGGTGGGGGGAGGAACAGTTATTCTGGGACTCTTGTGACATCTCATGTCCGCAATGGCTGTACTCCTCCAAGTCTTGACTCTTCACGCTGTGGCAGAAGATAACAGCATGTGACGGAAAGGTAAGGGAAGAACAGAAAGACAGCAGGGTGCTCATTTGCAGTCTCCTCGGTGCAACAGAACACGATTCCCTCCTTCTCTTACAGAAGGACTGAAACCTGAGCCTCCTCCCCAGAGAGGAAAGGTCAGCAGTCATAGGCACAAATCAGCAGGATTCTTGCCAGCTCTCCTGCTCTGCTCAGGAGTCACCCAAGAGCCCTCTCTGTGACTGATGACGATTCTCTCCACCC